TAATTACGTGCTCCACCATTTTAAATTCGTTTAACGACACTGCACAGTGGGACTGATGGGCACAAATGCGGCAAAAGACATTTTCCAGCTGGTGTAATTTTTGTATAAAAATTAATGATTCAGATGAGAAACTTCATGGAGCACCAATTTCTCAATCATCATTATCATTTTCTACTATTCATTCGATATCATTCTTCTACTATTATTAGGACTCTCTTGAGTGGCTCGATTCACGAAACGAACGAGATGGAGAATGAGGAAGAAATGTGACAAAGTTTTTGTTCTAAATGAGACACAGTATGTTATTGAAGAAAACTATGAACCCAGAAATCAGAAGAACTAGCCTATAACAGATTGAACCTAATAATATACATATGTCCCACGATGTCCCACGATGTCTTACAATGTCCTACACTGTCTCAGAATGTCCCAGAATGTCTCACAATGTCCCATAATGTCCCACAATGTCCCACAATGTCCCAGAATATCCCAGAATATCCCAGAATATCCCATAATATCCCACGATGTCCCAGAATATCCCACGATGTCCCACGATGTTCTACGATGTCCCACGATGTCCCAGATTATCTCACAATGTTCCACGATGTCCCATAATATCCTACAATATCCCAGAATGTCCCATAATATCCTACAATGTCCCAAAGTGTCCCAGAATGTCCCAGAATGTCCCACGTTGCCCCGTGCGGGGGTGTAAATAAAGTGGTACTCGCAATTCCAGCCTAGCCTCCAAGACACCCGAAGGTAGCCTTCTAGAGGCTAGACAGGATTGCGAGTACTGCGTAGCTCTTAGCTTGGCATCGTTTGTCAAAGATGAACTTATCAAATTTTTCAAAGAATGTTATATAAAATTTATGTAGACAAATGTGGAAATACATCTTTGACAAACGATGCCAATTACCAGATCTCACCACGTGGAGGTGGCTACGCATTCGAGACCCATTCCTAAACGCCTGATTAAAACATAGTACAAAACATGGTACAAAGCATAGTAGAATATATAATACAAAATAAATCACAATATTGATTTCAAAATGATTACCAAAAATGATTACAAAAAGCAATACACAGTATAATAGAAAATTTGTTACAAAATAAATCACAAAGTAAATACATAAGTAAATTATAATCTAAAGTGCAAAATATAGTATGCCTCACATCTTCAATGAAGGAAAAGCAATTAATTATGAGAAAAAAAATAATAGTTGGGGAGTAGAATTGGTAGTTGCATTGGATTGTTGCGATACGAAATGAGAAGTAATATTTTAGTACAATAATTTTTTAATTTTTTAAGTGGCACACTCGTTGCCATTTATAGCGCTTTAAGAGTCGTAGCAATAATGGAAAAAATTTTAAGAATATTTTTCGTGACTCTGGTATTTTCTATGTTACATGAAAACGGGATTAACTTTTAATTCGCGGTCGTAATATATCGAATTTCAAGGGATTTCGACGAACCCTCGATTATAATGTGCACAGTATGCAGAGTAATACTGCATAAATGTGCAAAAATAAAGAATTTCTGCAAGTTATAACGAAGCAAAGTAACTTCTTGTACTTACATTTCGTACAAACCTCGTGAAATAACTATGACAATGAAGGAAATGAACAACTAAAAATTTCTGAATTTCTATTTAGAATAGAAATTAAAAATTTTTCCAACCGAAATTCTAATACACCGTATACAAGAAAGCCCTAGCCTGATCCAACAAACATATCTCAAAAATATATATATGGCACGAGTGCTAATGTACTAATGTACCAATGTACTAATGTACTAATTTACAATAGCACTCGTGGCAACAATACGAAAATAATTAAATACAACTAGTCACCCGTGCCATTTCGGAAAATTTGTCCTATGACATTATGGGTAACCAGAGGAATCATGAACATGCGACTCACCGATCGTTGACCCCTTCTCCATATCAGAGCAGCTCTGGTTCGACTGTCGCCTTCGTCCTGGCATCAGCGTCACTCTGTCCTTCCCGTACCATGTCGTCAATGTAGCGATGTCAACATTGGTTGAAATTCCTTCTTCCTTTCTTGGAGCACTTTCAAAACACACTCGCGAGGTCGCGGACACGTACGAACTCGCTTCGACCGACATCGAGTAAAGAAAATCGCGTGTAAAATCGTTCGAACGTATACGATTTAATAGAATTACAATTATAATTTAATAGTTATAAGAATATTTAATTTCCACTAACACCAATAAAATTAAAAGATAAAACGTAAAGTATTTATTTAAGTATTAAAGAAATAATTAAAAATAAAAATAAAATGAAATAATTAAATGTTAAATTAAGTGTTAAACATAAATAAATTTATTAAATAAATTAAATAAATTATTAAAA